CCTAACCTGTTGAAGGAATCGGTACACCTCGCCCTTTCCCGGTTTCTTAGCCCTATACAAAAAAGTTGATATTTTTCTTACATTGAAATAATATTGTATATGTATGCTCTTTTCATTATAAAATTTTAGTTACAACAAATAATACTGATCTACGTGAGATTGGATATAACTTTTAATGACGTCATATTCCTACCAGCTTCTAATGATCGCCTATGATGTGTTATTAAAAAGTATTTTATATAATTGAAGATAGTTGTATGTTTTGCAGAAATGATTGTATGGTCTTTCATAACTTTTTTTTTTTTGGAATGGCTCTAGTTGTTTTAAATGATACTGTGATTTTATCAATATGTGTATAAATATATGTCAATATTGACGTGAGACTATAAAGAGGCATTGGATAGTTCAATCATTAATGAGAGTGATATAGTGAAATAATAATTCGCCTTTAGCAGCCAATTTAGTTCAATTTTGTCAAAATAAGCTATGAAACATCGCAGATGAATTATTCACTTGCAAGTAATAATTCGATCTCATTGAATCCGTATTCATGTGGCCTTCGATTTAACCCCTTAGCTGGAGATGGGTTACGCATGTATACAGCTATTAAAAGGAAAAGAATGTCAACATTATAAATGAAACAAGGATAAATCATTTAGTTGACTGATTCGATCCACAAAAATCATTCTTATGTAGGTAAAAACGATGATAAACTTACATTTAAACCTACAATATGAAATCAAACAGACCTAGAAAATCCAATAGCACGCGGTCGCTATCTTTTTATATTATATTTATGTTTATATCGGTTATATGACCGTCAGCAGTCTTCGGAGGTCGCCTCGATGGTTAATTAGATGATGACTAGACAAAAATACACACGAAATGTTGATACATATTATCGAGTCCATGCATTGTTAATTGTTTATTTTAGACTTTTTGTAATTTGGGTATACGTTTTAGTATGTTATAAATCAAATATGAGAATTTGAGTCAAATCAGTGAACATGAATTTGACAGCTAATGGCCCTCTAATAAAGTATTTGTCTTGTCTTGTCTTGTTTTGCCTTTACTGGTATTTAAATCTCAACACACATTATGCTACTTTATAGTTAATTGATATTATTACCAATGAATCTTATATTGTGTTTATGTTTGCAAATCAATGAAACAATATATATGTTTTCACTTTTTTTACCATTTTCCACAAAAGAGAGGCGAAAGGTACGTTTGGGACATTCAAAACTCATAAGTCGAAGAAAAACTGACAACAAAAAAAGAGTCTTGAATATGATAACCTAACTTGTTATGGTCATTTGGGTTGTTTTAACTTTTTATTATCTTTTTTAAAATAGCACAGTGACGTGAATATAAATTACACTTTGGCAAGAACGTTCAAACTCTGACATCGTTTGTTTATATTCCCATACTACATAAAACAAATATGACCAGTTTGATAGATAAGACATGTCAAATTTCAATTTATTTTCGTTCATAAATTCTGTATACAAACAATACATCTTATTACACTATCAGCTGATATTTCAATAACTTTCTTATCATAACAAATAAAATAATTTGAAGTAAAAAATACAATATCTTTATGAATTTTATTGATATTACACTGTATTCAGCAAGTTTCCAATTTGATCGTTACAGTGAACATATTGTTAGGAAGATAATCTATGTAATTTCATTTCTGAAAATGAAATACAACAGGTATTAATGAACTGACTAGTACATATATTTATAATTCATCAACGTTTTTTTCATGAATTACTCCTTAAAACTGGAATTTAGAATTATATTATAAGGAATGACTCTCATACTTTTTTCTGTCTATTCGAAATAACACTAAATAACCCGCTACGTGAGTTATTCAGGGTGCACCACATTTTTGATGTTATTTCTTCGTAAACAGAAAAAATATTACAGTCATTCCTTAAATGAACAAAGGAATATCGCAGTTGTTTTTTTTTCTCCTCTCTCTCTCTCTCTCTCTCTCTCTCTCTCTCTCTCTCTCTCTCCTCTCTCTCTCTCTCTCTCTCTCTCTCTCAAAAAAAAAAAAAAAAAAAAAATTTTGATAAGATGTGTCTCATAAAAAGTATCAAAACATTTCTGCTATCACTTTATTATTGTTAATGCCTCCGATTTAAAATAAAAGTTAAGAAATTGTGGTAACTATAGTTTATTTTTTTTATATAATAAATAAAAATAATAAACTATCATGCCTAGGAATCACCAGAAATGCTGGACAAAGCAAGAGGGTCTGGATAGGGTTTACAGAATAGAGAATAATGGGCAAAAAGTGCATAAAAAAGGGAAAAAATAAAGAATAGAGAGAAGAGTAAAAAAAATAAATAGAGACTAATGGGGTGCTCAAATATAAAGAATATAGAGAATTAAAGGCAACAAAAATAAATAGAGAAAAATGGTAAAAAAATATTAGAATAAAGAAATGAGGGACTCCATCCAGACCCTCAAACTACAGACCACATTACCCACCAACACCAATATAGTATGTTGAAAATTCTTGATCAATGAAAATGAAATTAATTCTTACATTAAGAGAAACTTTGCGTGCAGAAAAAGTAATTATGTTATACATTAAGATTTTTTTTATAATTAAAATCTGCTTACATCTAATCTAGAACTCCGGAAACAATTGATAAAGAATAAAATATTCATTATTCTTAAAACTCCCAGGTTATTTTCGCTTTGTAATGTTTATTAAACTTTTAGTAGATACAGTTAATTTGTTGTTTTTTTTGGTTATTAAATTTTATGTTTAGTAACCACAAGGACGGCTTAGTATGATTCAATGTATGTTTCTTTCTACGTTTTGGCGATGAATAGAACATTTAAGATCATAGCAAGGACTGGACAATTTTGAAGTGCACATATTCATACTATTAATAATGTTTAAAAAGTACTACATGTAAATATGGATGCAGAAATGTTCTACAACCACGGTTTATGTTATCTGTCAACATGAACATTTGTTCTTACATAAACGATTGATAGATTGATTGTTGGTAGCTTAACTCAATCAAATATGTCATGCACATATTAAGACGATAAGAAATTAACAATTAATACATTACGTGGATTCTGTAAAGTAGGTAATGATTTTTTTTATTGCCACTGCACGGAGAATGTGTTTGCCTTGTAGACACGATCGAAGCATCTGAATTTTGAAGAATAATGCATACAATGCATATTAAGACTTTAATTTGATTTACCATATCCACGTTTTGAAATATCATATTATAGTAAGTTTTAATTTGTTCAAAAAATAAAAAATCGTAAGTTCTGCATGTGTTTGTCAAAAGTTAGGATCCTGTAATTAGGTGCTTGTCGTTGGTTGTTGTGTATTTCCTTCATTCTTTTATGCATAAAATGTTGGTTTTCTCCTTTGAAATATTTCACTTGGTTTTCTCCTTTGAAATGTTTTACTTAGTTTTCTCCTTTGAAACGTTCTACTTAATTTTCTCTTTTGAAATATTTTACTTGGTCGTCTCCTTTGAAATATTTTACTTGGTTTTCTCCCTTGAAATATTTTACATTATGATACCATGACGGGGCCTTTTTCTGTTTACTTATGCGGTTTGGGTTTTGTTGATATTTAAAGGCCGTTCTGTGACCTATACATTCTACAATAGTTGCTTACATTGACGCTATTTTGGTCCTAGATGGATAGTTGTCTCATTGGCAATGAAACCACATATTTTGATAACAAAGAGCAACAAAAAATAAGTATTATAAAGGATAAAAGACAGATTTTGTATTTAATTTCCATCAGAAATGTTAAGAACTACAAGTTTGTTAACGAGAAGAAGTCTAAGAGATAATAGCAATAGAATTACTTTGTATGTAAAGGCACTTTGAAGCATACGAAGTACGAGGAGTATTTCCTTTTTAATTTTCCAGTTTACCTACTTAAACATTCAATTAAAATTATTGTTTTCTGTGATTAAGTCCTCATCCGTCCACGATCGCTATAATAAGACAAAATGGTTGTGAATTTGAAAAAAGTGGAAAATTGCAATGATGTCAGTGAATGATATTTACGCATGCATAAAAGACAAAACTTACACTCTTTTAAAATCTGTTTAATTTGTTCAATCTATTTAATGATTGTTTTTATTTTAGATCTTAAACATATTGATATCGGCGCGTTAATTTATTTAAAATATCCCTGACTGACTTACTATATATGTTATAGATAAGGTTACTCAGTATGAACTAATTATTTTATTGGGTGAACTTCTATATATATATAATAAACAAGTCTAAATTGAAAACAAACCTATGATTGCGTTGGATTAAAACCGCAATTTTTATACGTGTGCATGCAAAACAAATTTCTTGGTAGAGGGGTCTAAATACAGCACAAACAACATTTTCCAAAAGACCAAAAAAAGTGAAAAGGTATATTTTAATATATATATAAATATACAATATTAGTATAGTGTAGAAAAATATAGAAAATATTTGAATGAGGCTGAGAAACAAGGGAAAATGCGAGGCTTTGCCGAGCTATTTTTCCCTTGTTTTGCGCCGAGTACAAATATTTTCTATATTTTTCTACACTATATTAATATTGTTTTTATCCTGTAATTTTGTTTATTTTGGGATTTTTAAGCAATTCAACTATTTTTAAAATTGTAAATAGTTGTTCCCCCAATTGGGGCCATTTTGCGTAGAGATATTTCCTTCTAGTGTTTACCTGTGCAATAATGACGTGCCACGTTGCAAATAGTTTTCATACAGTGGTGAAATGAATAAAATTGATGAAGAACAAGTATTTTTATTCAATATGAGTCGATAAATGTAGGTTTTTATGTCAAATAAACGTACTTGTAACAATTGAAACAGTAACACATTTGTTTTGATCGAAATCGATCAGTTCAACTATTGAGCGGGCTTTTCACTGTGTGGATGTGTGTACACATTAAGTGTGCCAACATGGAGCGTTGCACCGTAAAACATAGATTGGTTGGACATGTTTGTCTGAGAGCAGAAAGAAGTCGACAAATTATCATGATCAGACTGACAGACAGCGGGAGCGGAGATAGTTGACGTTGCCACGGGTCCAGTAACTGTTGATGTCCTTCTAGGTAAGTTTGATTGTTCAGTTTGTGGTGTGTATGGCACAACCACCATGTTTTCATCTGTTGTTGTATTACTGAGAATATTTGAGATATTCTTTTTGCTGCTTTTCAGAAATAATGCTGTAATTGTTAACAGAGGCAACATTCTTGTGTCCTGAAATTTGCATTATATCTGTTCCCTGGATATTATTTTCCCTTAGCTTTTGCACGAGATACTTTCTAGCAGTTAAGGTTCATCATAACAAATGGACAAAAATGGCTGTATTTACACCTTAAAAACTACTCTGTGTACAGACTTACCTGTCCAGTTTGGAAAGTTTTAAGGCCTGGCATCCACTAGATATATAAAAGTTAAATGCATTTTTTGTTTCAGAAAGATATAATCACTTTTGGATTTTGATGGGCATTTTTTTTCCTTTCTGCAGAAGGTGTAAAAATAAACAAACACCTGAATTGCTTTGATACTGTCCACTCAGTTAAACCCTTTAACTCACCTTTAGTTGTGTAGATACCTATTGTCTGTCTATTGTCCGTGTCAATCAAGGACAATCAATACAATACAATACAGTTTTTACCTGAGAGGGAGCATCTCAAAGTTTTATCCCAACTTAGTTCATTTTTACACCTTCTGCAGAAAGGAAAAAAAATGGCCATCAAAATCCAAAAAAGATTTCATCTTTCTGAAACACAAAATGCATTTAACTTTTATATATCTAGTGGATGCCAGGCCTTAAAACTTTCCAAACTGGACAGGTAAGTCTGTACACAGAGTAGTTTTTGAGGTGTAAATACAGCCATTTTTGTCCATTTGTTATGATGAACCTTAAAAGTTAAAATTTTTAGGGGTTGACTGTGTATCTGTTACTGTTTGAATTATTTTACACTAGTAATTGTAATTTGTTGGGCCCTTTATAGCTTGCTGTTTGGTGTACGTGAGCCAAGGCTCCGTGTTGAAGGCCTTCCTTCGACCTATAATATGTTTTTGCTGTTGAAAATATGTAATTTATTTGAAATCGCAATTAAACAGTATAAATTATTAGCAACCTATACATTTCATTCACAATATTTCTATATAGCTCATACAAAATAAATGATTCATGTTTGGACAACTAACTGTACTTATATTACATATAAACATGATAAATATCTTCTGTTTTAGCAATTTTAAAGTCAGATATATAGAAGTGTCACTTGTTTGCCTCGTGTTACAATGTGTATGAAGAATAAATAATATATTATGTTTTTCATGTTCAAATTTATTTACAAGCATTCATTTTTTTCAGATTTGGTGTGACGATGGCAGTGCAAATAATATCACTTGGATTATACATTTTATAGTGTACTAAATATATAGAAAGCGAGCCATATTATGCTCAACAAGCAGGATTAGGAATTTTAGTGTAGAAGAGAAGAATATCAATGTTCCACTATAATGAATATGTGCTTGTGTGATTAATCTATTTCCTGAATGATGGATGGATTGTATGTTTTCGTTTCATATATTCAAAGGACAGCGAATCAGAAAAAGATCTACATGTTACGTGATATATGGACAATACTATACAAATTCATACGGCAAATTTATATGCCATTTGGAAGCTAACATTTATACACATGATACACATGTGAATGTTAAATAAAGGTAGGATGATAATGAATAATTATGATAAATAGTGGAATAATACATACAGGAGGGAGTCGAGTGTACAATACATATATGTTAAAGATTTTTTTAAATGACTGCAAAATAATCAGATGAAGGTTTATTTGCAAATTGTTGTTGCTGTTAATATTTTTTTTTATCAAGTACATGTATTAAATCAAATATTAAATATATTGATTGTTTATTATGTGCATTATACATTTATGAAAAATTGCTTGACATATGTCACAAACCTTAGTGTATAGTGTTCTTGTACACCACGAAGTCCAAAATGAACACAGTTGTTCAGCCAGATAGTCCGTAGAAGGGCATCAGGACAGCTGTCACCCAAGACATTTCTTTCATAAAGAATGTTAATTTCATCGTCCGTAATTGGCTGTGATCGTAGGGGCTTATTTCCTTTGCCTTTCTGTTTAAGTACCTTCTGCTTTGCTTTCAAGGATTCCCTGGTTAGTCTAAAAGCCTCATCTTGGTGTGTGGTTGAACCAGCAATTGAATGGCCATATTTGTGTCTTTTTAGTTTCCTGTCAATACTACTGACTATTGATCTCAAGGTGGATGGCTCATATTCCCCTCCATCTTTTTTACGAAGAGTTAATAAGTAGTTGGCCAGCAAAGGGTCCAATTCCACTGGTGGAATAGTCTGTAATTCTCTGTTTTCATTTTTGGCTTTCAGAAATTTGTTCAGTAGGGCAATATCTCGTACTGTTTTTGTTAAAGTGTTTTTATTTTGTTGGCCTTCAATAAATTGTTCAATATCATGTTCTGTCATGTCCATATATTGGGCGTCAAAATGTGGATTTACAGATGCATTTTCTAAATTTTCAGAATGACTTTCCTCCTGAACTTGATTTGTGGGGTTAGGATTTTCTGTCAAATCTTGTTCATTTGGCCTATCTAACTGGGTGAGGGTGTCCTGCAGGTCTCTGTCCATCAAATCATCTTCAGTTAATTCAGCATAAGGTGACCAAATTAATCTAAACTGAGGCATTTCCATATTATTTTCTTCAGAATCAGATGACATGTTTGGTTTTAGCAGACGAATTTAATTGCAGACGAAATATTTTTGCAGCAAGCAATTGAAGGAGACCCCCCTTTTTTACAAAATGCATCTGTTCAACCACATTTTTTTTTCATGGGATAAGAATAATACAATTAAAAAAAATGTTTGTTTGTTTATTTTTATTCATTGTTTACGACATTATTATGCTGGTTCCTGAGTCAGAACGTTTTGCAATAAAAATAAATGTTCCGTACCAGTCAACGATAGCGGCGTTTTGTTTACATAGTTGTCAAGCAGGGTCACGCAAGGTTAAGATGATGAAAAAATAGTTCCGGTAACAAGTAGGCGGGGCCTAATGCATAATTTGCATACTATACAAATAAAGCAAAAATTTATTTGTACACCTGTTATTTGTACAATAGAAGGCCAATTACAGGATAATTATATATATTATTCTTTTGACGGTCAAATATCGAAAAATATTCCAACGTTCTCGTTGTAAAGAGTTTGATCAAATTCCAGATGAACGTTCAGTGCAAATATTTCATTCAGTCGATACAATTTTCTTTTACACTTGTATGAACCTAGCTTTACCTATGTTCACTGAAATTAAACCGAAATTAACAATTTTAACACTGTTTGGTTTAATTTTCAGACTTATATAAATATTTGTATTACTAGTATCCTGTATCTCAAACACATTGAGATCCAGTGGGCATATATATATTGTATGGTTGTCACTTGCTTAGACTTGTTAGTATAATATACTTATTTCCAGTAACTTAATAATGAATTGAATCATTATCCCATACGGTACATAAAAATTGTTGAGTTAGATTGCTGACAAATAAAAATACATTGTGTATAAAAAAAATAATATAACATCTATACACGCTTAAAACACATGTCTTATGTCTATCTCTAGATTCGCCTTACGTGACAAGGTAACACTCGACTATTGAAGTTATATTTTTATATACCGGATGTGGTCGAGTGGTCCAGTAGAGCGCTGGACATGGGTCTAAGCAATTTGTGCTGTAGTGTATCAAAGGTGTGAGATCAAATCCCGTTGAGGGACAAAATTTGTCAGCATAAAAATCTAATTCTAACACTGTTGGGTTTAATTTTCAGACTTATATATTACTCTAAATATAAGCACAACAATGTTAAATCTGCAAATTTGCGGAAGCAAATTTTTGTTCTTCCTTCACCGGGATTCGAACGCATGCATGCTATTGAGATATTGAGACAACACCGCCTGCACTGTGTCCAGCGCTCTAGACCCCTCGGCCACCTAGACTAAACTAAAAATTCAGCTGTCGGTGGCCTAGTGTTACCTTTCCTCGTCAGTAGAATCTAGAGTTGTAACACAGTACATGATATATTAGGCATGAAGATGGAATTGATTGCAGATTAGCTAGATTATCTATCATAAAGGATCGTAAGGTGCAGTCAAAGAAATAATTATATGATAAGTACGTATACGTATAAACAAGTGACAACTCTGCGACAGATCCATGCATTGGATCACTAGTTAAGGTGATACACGGCTGAAAACACATATTATATAATTTTTGCACCTTTTGTTTGCGGTATACCATCTTTTCCGCAAGTTTATTGTTTTCTCTTTGGTATTAAATTAATAATTTTAAAAGATCCATTTTGTAACATCTTGTGATCCGTTTATTTGGCAATCGCCAATGGCAGTCAGCAGGGATTAAGAACATCTGTTGTTCGACCTGTTAGTCAAATGCGTTTTGTTAAAATAAACTTTTTCACTTTTTTGGTTTTTTGGAAAATGTTGTTTGTGCTGTATTTAGACCCCTCTATCAAGAAATTTGTTTTGCATGCACATGTATAAAAATTGCGGTTTTTATCCAACGCAATCATAGGTTTGAACGTTGTTTTCAATTTAGACTTGCATGTATATAAATTAACCTTCCTACAGAATCTACTACTATTACATGTTTATTTTGCTGTGACGTCAACTTTAAAGCATAAATAAAGGCAACAGTATTATACTGCTGTTCGAAACTCACAAATCGATAGAGATAAAAACAAATCCAGGTTACAAACTAAAACTGAGGGAAACGCATCAAATATAAGAGGAGAACAACGACACAACAAAAACACAACATTAAAATGTAACACACACAGAAACGAACTATAATATAACAATGGCCATTTTCCTGACTTGGCAAGTCAGTTCGTCGATATGATTACTTTAGAAAACTAAGTGACAAATGAAGAAAATTCTTTTAAGTTTGTATTAGAAGTGAAAGAATGCATAATCATGATAATAAGCACTATAAAAAATCGACGTCCCAAAGAAGAAACGCTAAGCGTTTTATTGCTATTATTCGTCTTCACAACTGCAGGAAGCTTTTCAACGATGAACTATATAGACCTTACACCTACATGTAACATATAAAAAGTCCATATAATTTATCCTTATAAAACTTTTTTATAACAAGGGTATCAAAACAGGTAAAGACATTTGAAGGTCGGGATTAGGGGGACAGGGATGGTCTCAAAGAAGTATTTTTGCATAGGAAAAGTCTTTAAGTTATTAGTTAATAAATATATCAACTTACAAACATTTGTTTTATATAAATATTAAAGATTTAAACTTGACATGTATAAACCGTGTTTTACATTTTTAAAAACAGTTTAATTTCAGTAAAAATAGGTAAAGCTATATTCATACAAGTGTAAAAGAAAATTCCAATTTGTATCGACTGAATGAAATATTTGCACTGAACGTACATCTGGAATTTGATCAAACTGTTTACAACGAGAACGTTGGTATATTTTTCGATATTTGACCGTATAAAGAATAACTGCATTGGTTACGATGAGGTATTGCGACTCATCAGCAAATGCGGATGCAGGATGTAAAAAAAAGGGGGCACCAAACTAGGCAACGTTAGAAGTGGCGAAGTATATGCATTAACTATATATTAATATATGTAGCTCCATAAGAGGGGCTGGAGCCCCTTGGCCCCCTAAATTCGCTTCTGGCTAGTCTATTCAAAACCGATATTTCACTTCCATGTTATTTCACTTTTCTGATGTCATACAACGATGGGCGTCGTTCAGACATTGCCATCGAAGCTGCATGAAAAAACGAAGTGAGAACGCGAAGAAAAGCATGATCACATTCCTTGATTTGTGTAACTACACTATGTACATTAAAAGTATTTGTAATAAAAAGAATAACTAAATGCAAAAAATCAAATTAGTATTGAAGAAATATCCAACTCGCGACCGAACACAATTAAAAAACAGCGTTTGTATAATACGCGCATCCATGGATTAATGAGTTGTTCGGTCACAGTTATCATATACATATCTGGTTAGAATCTGAAACTTTCATTCTATAATAGTTATGAACTTACACCTTGACATTTCTTTTTTAGAATTTAGTTTAACCATGAAGGACAACAAGTAAAGTTTAACAAGACTCAAGCTAGCGACTATTAGCTAGCGACCACTAAAGATCACAATGAGAATCAACTAGTAAAAGAATCATTTGGTGGTAAGTGTGAAATCCAAAAAATCACATATGCAACAAACTTCTGTAAGAAATTCTAGCTACCAAAACGGAAGATATTGTTTTTTAACGTTCAAATGACCAGATATATTAGCATTTGAAGTAAAAGGGGACACTACAACACCAATGACGTCTATAGCTGAATGCACTG